CCTGAAGGATTGGCTGTGGCAGAGATAAAACTATGCTTTCTCTGTCAATAGAAAATACTTCATCACTTTCTTTTAAAAATTTGTTTGTAGAACGAAATCTTTTAAAGTATTGAACTTGAAATTCATTAACATCTACACGTATTATCTCGGCTACATAAAAATGCGTTATTTTTTTCCCAGCAATTTTTGCTAGCACATAATCTCCTTGTTGCAAAGAACTGTTATCAAGTTTTTGTTCCTCAGGCTCAAAAATCTCATCCGATATCTCCGAACTGCCAGAATCGGTCGAATAGGTATCATCTTCTTCTTCAGATGTTTCCACTTTTCTCTTTGGGGTTGTTATTTTCCGAACAACTTGCTTGTTTATTTTCAGATTTTTTTTTCGTTGCTTTTCATTAAAAATTCTTTGCCTCTCATTAAAAATACGTTCAATGTCATCCTTCTCAGGAGTGTCAGTCAAAATTCTGCTTTTTATTTTTTTACGGTTAGTGATTTGTCCGCTACGTTTTTTTGCTTTTGGGTATGGCCGTATTTCTTCAGGAGTTGTAAATTCCAAATTTAATTTTATGGTCGATGCGTATTTTTCCTTGGAAACAGAGCTTTCCTTACTTGTAGATGGCAATGCGTCATCAAAGGACCCTTTGCTTGTAGAAGTCATTAATTGATTTGCATAATCATTAAGATTTTCTTTATTACCAGTAGGATCTTCTAGATCTGTCACTGATGAGCAAAGATATTCTTCATCCCCAAAAATGTTTTCATTCAGGGGCCAAATTCCTGACACCCTAAATCCAGACAAAATATTTTTTGGAGTGAACGCCAGTGGATACGATGTCCCCGCTAACTCTGCGACATTATACTATATATATAGTGATTGGTTGTCCTGGGTGGTTCAAAAGCCATTCGTCACAAGCATTATTGTAATATTGCCTGTACGGTCCAAAAACTGTACGGTCCAGGGGTTGAAGCTTATGACTTGTATGGGGTGGCAACGTTAGTAAAATGATTCCATTAATTTTGGCTAATGTTACAGCTTTAAGAGAGCAATGGCTCTCATGGTTATCTAAAATTAATAATTTTGTTATGCTCGGGGCTTGGCCTTTCTTTATCAATAAAATGTTGCAACCATATTATAATTTTTTTCAGAATTGGACCACCCAGATATATGCGCGGATCCAATTGAATCTGCTGGCGCCCCACTGAGCATATGTTGTTTAAAATTAACTCTAGGGAATATAAACATTGGGGGTACACTATTTCCTAAAGCATTGTTGCATGCAATCATGGTTACATTAGAACCCCTTTCTCCAGATGTGGCCATTTCTACTTGTTTTTGACCCTTTGGTGCAATTATCTTTGTTGTGTTTTGAACAGTGCAGTTTCCGGTTTCGTCCATGTTATAAATGTCTGCAGCAGTAAACTTGTATTAAGAAACAACTTCCTTTAAATTAGTAAAAAAAATTCCAACATTATGTCTATTAAAGCTTGTGGCTCTTGAAAGACTAGTAGCCTCAGGCTTTCTTAAACTTAGTCCCTGATGTCTATTCATAAATTCGCGGAACCACTGTTTTCCAGCTCTTTTATTTTCTATCCACGATTGAGGTATATTTTTGTTATTGGATTTGGCAAAAGAATACGCCAACATTCTAAACTGGTTTCTATGAAGACCGTAGTGCATTTTTGATGTTATAAGATATTTTACGAGACTGGCTTCTTCTGATGGAGTAAAGATAGATTTTACTGCACAATTCTTGTAGGGCTTATAATTTTGAAGTTCGTTTTCATCAATTTTTAGATGTCGCTTGTAACGATACACATTACGACATCTATGAGACGATTTCCTAACTACCCGACGTCAAGGAAAGAGTTGGACTACCAGAAACCTGCAGTTAGACGAAACTCTATCAGATGGCGCTTGGACAGCTGTCAACCGCCTATATGTTGTCAACAATTGTTGCACACGGCCCGTGTGAAGGATTTATTGCACGCGGCCCCAATTGTTTTTCATCAAGTCTGTCATCAGAATTTCGTCTATAAAACCGCTGCATTTTTCATTGGACAGTCAGTCGTCTGGTGGCTCAGTTCCAAATGGTGTTATCAATTGTGAGCCCGAAAACCAACCACTAAATCACATAGAACTCTCAGTAAGTTAATCTGTTTTTAATATCACAGGGCTTTAAGCCGTATAATATTAAGCTTTAATAACAGAGTTAATGAAACTGTAAATCCTGTATGCATAAAACATAAACTAACAACATGTATTTTTCCACTAGAGTCCAATTGCAAATCTGCCCTGTCTCTCTGTAGGACTGAAAACTACGCCCGTGCCTGCCAGTTGCCTGTGAAAAGCCCTGGAACATTTGCCTGTCCTGATTAGGCTATGAAAGAACCTTTGTGTTCAAAGTCTACGATACTTTTGTTAATACTGTAAATACTGTATATAATTCTAATATAATTTTGTACTTACTTTTACCTTGGTAAATAAACCAGTTTAAGTTACTTTTGCATTTTAAATTAAACCACCAACCCTAACTGATTCTTATAAACCCTACTTTCTCCACTGAATAAAAGCAACCCGAGGTAGGTATTCCTCTATATCTGAAGAGTCAACCGAAGAGGAACCTTGGTGAAGTACTTAAGGCCATCACCAGCCTAGGTACTAGCGATACTTAACTCTTTGCATGCTTTCCGCTGACTCATACCTCTTTTAACGGCAGCTACAGCTCCTTTAACTTGTTCTTTGTCAGGTCCCTGTCGTTTTACGCCTCTTTTGCTTCTAGGCATCTGAAAAATTAGAAATAATTAAAATTATTGTTTGGGTTTGTACCTTGTGCCATGGCTCAAGATACATATCACAATCCGGCTTAAGGTACAAGACAATGCCTTAATAAGTAAAAATGGCCAGATAACCTGAAAACATCGGTAGAATATTGGACAAATTTATTGAGTATGTTTAGTATAAATATAGGATTCCATAATATTGTTAGCTTAAATATGTATCTATATTTAGACAACAAAAATACATAATTTTAGATATTATAATACTTACTTTGAAGTCGCAAAATCAAAATATCGAGATAAAACACACTTAGCGTCAGTTTAACCAAAATCAACTAAATCAAGCCACTCGTAAACACATGCGCGACCGTTTACAGCGTTGCCAGTATTTCTCGCCCGAAAAATCAAAGTATTTATTGAAGTGGCCCGAGGTACAGGGCGGCCCAAGGTACAGGACTCTCCCTACTCATTTTTGCAATATTTTGAGGTTAATTTTCTCAAAACAATATTTTTTTATTTTTATCAAATAGGCCTCATTATTCTAAGTACACATAGCTCTTTCGTAATCAAAAATAAAAAAGTTGTGTATTTTGGTGTGATGGTAATTTTTTTCAATTAGGAACATTTTGATATCCCAATATACTGGAGGCCCAATTGAAATATACTTACTGAATTGAATTAGAAATAAATTTATTATTAACTCAAATTTAATATCTTATACTTACATTTTTCGCATATTCCTCAAAATTTTGCCTGCTGTCAGTTTTGAAAAACCTTAATAAATATAGAAAAAAAAGTGTTACAAAATAATTTTAAATAAGTTTTATTTAAACAACAAACAAGAAAACAGTATTAGGCATTCAAAAAGTTAACAAATTAATTTTGTTAAAACCAAAGAAACATTTATTGGAAAAAATTAAAATTTAATTCTGTGGTTGCAAAAAAATACTAATCCAACAAAGCAACCCAACAAAACAAAAAAAGTAAAACTGTAAAAATAAAAAACAAATTGTTTTAGTTCACTTTTGTACTTTAACAATAGTGAATAAATTTGAATTGGAATTTTTTTAATTTTTAACAAATTATCTTTTGCGGAATAAATCCATGATGTGCTCTGGTATTTTTTATAGGTAAAGCTAATTGAAACCGTTTATGTCTATTTTTTCTTGTTTTATCAACAAAAAAGAAATACCTTTAATATGTTCGTGACAAAAATTACTTGTTCTTTGGAGGCTGGTTTTTTGAACAAACCTCTTTACAGTGCCCCCTACACCATCACAGGCACTTTTACCATGAGATGTTCCAAAGAAGTGCCACTCGGCCTCCAACAAATAGTCCTCTTCATGATAATACAGATTCAAAAAATTTTTTATTCTTATATTGACCAGCACATCCATCAGTCATATAAAAGAGTTTTTTTATGCAAAGGAATCTGGTTTTTGACATCACTTAACACACAAAAAGATTGAGTTTGAATGGTATCTGAAATATCTTTGTAATAAATAACGAAAGGGTGGAGTGTGGCACTGGAAGTGTTCCAGTGGAAACTTTGCACTTCGTCCTGAACTGTAAATGAATAATTTTCGGCAAAATCACACAAAACTATAAATTCACCTTCACACAAACTTTCTTTTAATTGTTTTAAAAAAGCTCCCTGTGATTTTGCGACAAAATGGTGTTCTTTTGTTTTAAGCACTTGCTCCTTGAAAGTCTCCAGAAACTCAGAACATTTCTTTTGTATCTGCTTCATATGGCACCTAAAAAAAGCACACTTAAAAAAGCCTGATATAAGATTGACTCCTGGCAAAGCTACACTTGTAAAAAACGAGTTTTGCGAAAAAAATACTTACCTATCAGTTGAAATCCATTGATTGTATACCACTGTTTTATTTCCATTATCATCAACCATTTCTGACAAAAGCTGTTCCAATTTTTGTTTACCAGGGCATTCTCCAAACATACAGTTTTCATTATTTACGTCTCAGACTGTAGCTTCTATAAAAGTGGTGTACTTTACACTTTTTGATATCACGTTACATAAAAGCTTCAAATTTTGATGGTAAAGACACACACATACTGTATGGGTGCCAGCCCCACCTGCAAGTACAGACCATTTAGGTCGAAGTGCACAAAATTTTGAAAATCGTATTTTTATGTAGGATTTTTCCTCTTTAAACATTAAAAATAATTCTTTCAAGTTGAAAAGAAGCAGCCTTTTTTGCTTATGGACTTTTTTTTTCAGATTCATCCCTTACAGAGGTAAATTCTTTTGCTCCTGGACAAAGCCTACTAACATCATCTTGTTGATAAAAATCAAGCACTGTAGTATGCACTTCTTCTGAAATAGATGTTCTGCCTTTTAAATTTATTTGACGACTTTTGGGAAAAATGCCATGTTCTTTTGACAGGTTTCCAGCAGTTCTCACGGTTTTTTCAAAAATATTAAATTCACTTGCAACTCGTTTAAGGGACCACGATTTTGGTGCTAAGCTTATAATATTTATTTTATTTTCATAATCAAGTGTAGGAATCGTCTCTTTAATTTCCTTCACCGGACTAATATAATTTCGGCCCATTTTATCATCATCTGGCTCTTCTTCAGAGTCACTTAAATTTAAAACTTTTAAGCATTTCTTTTTAAATAATAGTTTAACTTCGCAAGCTTTTTTTCAATTGCCTTTTTACTAATAGTACTTGAGAGGCCAATCTCTTCAATTCTTAACAATTTGCATATTTCTGATACCTCTTTCTTAAGCTCTTGAAGTGGAATAAAATCGTCATCAATGTCATCAATAATAATACTATCATTATTATCTTGCCAATCTTCTTCGTTGTCTCCATCTATGAATTTTTTAAGTTTTTTAGGCAGTTCAGGTACTAAATGTATATTTTTTGTGTTTGGCAGAAGGTATTGCCAAGAATACGGAGATTTTTTAATTTTTGATTTGTGCCTTTTGAAGGAATCGCAACAGGATTTTCCAAACCAGGTAGAATAATAGGTAAGGTACCTGTCCTTATGGAAGATGCATAAATTTTCTATTGACTGTCCGACGCGAATACGTAATAAATCTTTGTCTTCATCCGAAAAGCTGCCCTCAAAATCGAAAATTTTGGTTTTATGACACACTTCACCAATTATTTTTCCAACCGAACACTCCATTTTTAATTTACTTAGCTCTAACTGGCACGATATTTAAATGCAAACTGACATGAAAAATAAAAATCTTCCTTGAAAAACAATAACAATAACAATAATTATTCTGATAAGAACTCAAACAAAAAAGTTGGAATGTCGCATGCTTAGTAAAAAACTGAAGTAACGTTTTTTGTATTGTACTATTGTTGATATTTATTATTTTTTCTTAAGAATTAATTTATTTATTATTTAATAATTTTTAGCATTTTTTAAAAATTTTTCAGAGATTTATTTTAGGTTTCTGTTTTATTAAAATTAGGGTGATAACATTTTTGAGGGTTTAATTATATTCAAATTTTTTGTTATTTTCTATTAATTTCTATAATGTTTTATAGATTTGTTTAAAAAAAAAGTTATATAAAATTTTTAGTGTCGACAAAGTGTGTTTGAGAAAAAGCTGAAAAGGTGAATACAAGATACTAGCTTTACATACATAATTAATTTATGTCTTATTCAGTTCTATAAATATGATTGAATTGGACCTTGCATATATTGGGACATCAAAATGTTCCTAATTGAAAAAAATACCATTACAACAAAATACACAACTTTTTTATTTTTGATTACGAAAGAGCTATGTTTACTTAGAATAATAAGGCCTATTTGATAAAAATAAAAAAATATTGTTTTGAGATAATTAACCTCAAAATATTGCAAAAATGAGTAAATTTTTTAAACAGTAATTATAAAAAAAGAAATTTTACCTATAACCTTTAACCTTTGAAAAACTTTAGATTAAAATTATTATCAACATGGATTATCGCAATGATTTATCCCTTGGGTTTTGAGACCTTTGGTGTCATAAGGCAGATATAATTTTTTAAGCATGGTCAATTTTGACAAAAATACAACAAATTTAAAAAATCCAAAAGGCCTTATTATTCGAGAAAATTGAGATGGCTTTAAATTCGTATTAAGGCCTCATGCCTACTCTAAATGCTGCAACTTATTTAAAATCGCTACCTCAGTACAGTCGAAAACTATGAATTTTTAAAGTGTGACCCCAAAAATGGCTAATTCTAAATATTGACCGCCCTCTAAAAATAAATGGTGGGGAGGGGGATTTTTTTTGCACATTTTTGAGATGATTTATCCTTAATAATTCCACACACATGTTTTTTTAAATTGAAGACCCTAACTATTGCGCGTTTGCCCTTATTTGATGTAATTACCCCTCCGTTTTTACCCTAAATAAATTATATATGTAAAGCAAAACCAGTAGAGGCCCCAGTATGGTACCCTGCGGAACACCACATGTGGGAGTCACCGATTCACTAACTGAACTCTGTTATCTAGATAGTCAGCAAAGAGTTCCTCTAACTCCGATATCTTCCAAAATTTGTAAAAGTTTTTTATGACAGACTGTGTCAAAGGCTTTGGCCAGATCGAGGAAGATACATATATTTGGGGTACCTTTGTCAACGGCCTCATAGATATTTTGAGTTAATAAAATAATTGCCTGATCAGTTGATTTCCCTTTCTGAAATCCGAACTGACTCTCCGAAATAATCTTATATTTTTCTATATAGTTATCCATTCTTGACTTTAGTAGAGACTCAAAAAATTTCGTAAAGTTAGTTATATATTGGTCTATAATTAATGGGATCCTCTTTATCACCCTTTTTATATATAGGGATTATCGTTTTAAATATCGTACCTATACCATTTATAAAACCGCGTTTTTTACGTAATTAAGGAACTTCTGTCAACAAATCATTTAATTTATTGTTTAAATTTTTCGACGTGGTTTCTAACAAAGGGTCTTAAGATTTTCATTATTTTGTAATGCTAATTTAATTTGTGTGATATTTTTTATTGCTAAGAGTTTCCAAAAAGAATTACTTATTTTTACGTCTAGTCCTTGTTCTATTTAAATTCCTGCGTTGTCTTTAATTTTGTCTAGTTTGTAATAGTGAATTGTCCCAACCATCAACAGGGTCATTAATCTGTAACAAGATTATTTGTTTCAATACACGGTTTTAGTCTATCAAAGTTAATATTAGAAGTACAATTTGGATATTGAATTTCTCCAGTGGTATCATTAATTATTCTTAATATTTTATATGGGCCCTCGTATTTTTCGTCAAGTTTACTAAGTCTACGACCTTCTTTATTTACAAAAACAAAGTCGTTTACCTTGTATTTAATTTTATTTTTAGCCGTTTTATCATATCTTTCTTTTGATTTTTCTTTTGTAATTTGGGAATTATCTAATGCCGAGGGGCATAAAAACGCACATCGCACAGTTGCCAATTTTGATGGAAAAACGAACTTTTTTCATAACTTTATTAAATGTTATATGAAATTTTGTATACTTACTAAAAAAACCCGTAGAATATATATATAGTATTTATATTTCTTATATATATATAATATATATATATATATATATATATATAATTAATCTTCACCTGCTTCACCCTTTAACTTCCTCATCGTCCTCATTCTCATCATTCTCGTCATCTTTCTCGTCATCATTCTCGTCATAATTCCCGTCATCATTTTTATGTATTAATATAAAAGGCCGGATATCGGAACTTAACTTCATTTTTCTTCTTCTAACAGCTAAACTGCTTAGATATGGATCGGAATGAATTATCAGTATCCTAAAAAGATCTTTATTTACCCTTTTTAAATTTACTTTAGTTGTAAACGCGTCTCTAAATTTTCTAATATCTTTATTTTTTACTTTTTGTGCTTCCTCGGATAGCTCACCTATTGGCAATATTGCTTCACCAATATCTGAAGCACCATGTATTACAATGGTATGTACAATTGGATAAATCTTCTGGCCGTTGACAAGCAATATTCTTTAAAATATTCAATATTAATTTGGTAATCAGAACTGATTACTCGCAAAATAATATCAAATCTTTGTATAAGATCTTCGTAGATTCATGCAAAAAAAGTAATTGTTGTTATTTCCGCAGAAGGGTCATCAAAAAATCTCCTAGCTGTGTTTCCATCATTGATGCTCCCTGACACAGTCCACTTTTCCTTGATTAAAATTCCATTTAAATTTTCTTTTTTCTCTCAGAAAATTGTATTGTCTTGTTTCCAAACTTTAAGTTCTAAACGATATGCTGCATATAGCGTAGACAGTTCGTACTTTAAAACATCTTGTTTCTCCGGAAGACTTGTTACAAAATCAATGTCATTCATTAAAAAAAAAGCAAATATGACAAGTCATACCAGACGTTCTCGTTATCTCCCCACAAGCCCAAAAATAATATAAATAAGTATATTTTGACATCATATTATTAAATTATTAACAAACCTTTCCGTTAAGCATTGTTAGGACTAAGTGAAATTTCACTGGACCTAAATCCGACTGATAGGGTACCAGCTCTTCTATTTCCCCGTTGACAGCATCCTCTTGTTATTTGGTCGGTTTCTTTCCCACCGCCCATGGTACGAATAACGCTCGTGGGAAGAGTATTTTTCACTGCCCATGTTAGAAAATTGTATTGTCTTGTTTCCAAACTTTAAGTTCTAAACGATATGCTGCATATAGCGTAGACAGTTCGTACTTTAAAACATCTTGTTTCTCCGGAAGACTTGTTACAAAATCAATGTCATTCATTAAAAAAAAGCAAATATGACAAGTCATACCAGACGTTCTCGTTATCTCCCCACAAGCCCAAAAATAATATAAATAAGTAGATTTTGACATCATATTATTAAATTATTAACAAACCTTTCCGTTAAGCATTGTTAGGACTAAGTGAAATTTCACTGGACCTAAATCCGACTGATAGGGTACCAGCTCTTCTATTTCCCCGTTGACAGCATCCTCTTGTTATTTGGTCGGTTTCTTTCGCACGAATAACGCTCGTGGGAAGAGTATTTTCCACTGCCCATGTTAAGATAATTTTTTTTATATAAAAATACACCATTTAGCGAAACATATTTTTAAACTGCCGGCAAAAAATAGGGGATATTAAAAGTTCGGTTAAAAGGAGAAAACACTGAAAATTGTTAAATGTATATTCTCAACAGCTTGAACACGATGAGTCATGCTTCTTATTAAGTTATCAATCATATCTTGAGGAATATTGTCCCATATTTGAGGTAAAGCATCCCGTAACTGCAGAAGTGTGGTAGGAGCTGGTTCGTACCTATCTAACGCCCTTTGAACAACATCCCACATGTGTTCTATGGGATTTAGATCAAGTGACATCGATGGTAAAGGAAGATGCGAAATTTCAAGTTCTCTCATCGTGTTAAGAACAATTCGTGCCCCATGAGGTCGTGCGTTATCGTCTAAAAACTGAAATTCCGCTCCTACCTCCTCGGAAATGGGGTTGACAATGTTTATAATGATGTCTCTTTTATACATTTCACTGTTCATGTTGCCGTCACAAATGTACAATGGCGTCCGGCGACCTAGACCGATGCAACCCCAAACCATTATCGAGCCACCTCTAAAAGCGTGAACTTCTTGGACATATCCGCGATGCCTTGGAAGATTTCTTGGCCTCCACGTCCTAACTCGTCTCGAATCGTTATGCAAACCATACCTGGACTCATCAGAATACAACACGGTGTTCCATTCGGCCACCCAATGTTGCATCTCTCGCGCCCACTGCACCCGGTCTCGTCGGTGGCGATCAGTGAGGGGTACTCTTCTAAGCGGTCTTCTAGACACTAAACCGACTTCGTGAAGTCGATTTCGAATGGTTCTAACAGAGACTCTTCTACCAGTGGCGGCGTGGAATCGGCGAAGTATCAAGGTGGCCGATATTGTGGTGTCCCTTCTTGCATTTTGGGTAATGTAACGATCTTGTCTGACAGTTGTATATCTTGGTCTACCCTGCCCAGGCCTTCTACGTACACTATGCGTTTCTCTTTGTCTTCTTACAAGTCTGCTTATTACACTTTGTGATGTTCCCATCGCTATCGCAACATCGACTTGGCGCATACCACCCTGAATCATACCAAGTGCCCTGTTGGCTTCAACTTCA